CAGTCTGCAAAAATACCAACATACTATATGGTGTCTGTAGGAAACACATTTAACTTGGGACATTTGTGGATATGCCAGCAGAGCCTGGATGGGACACTTGTATAACTCCAGAAAATCATGATATGCTTTTGGGGGTTCAGTGCTGTAGTGCGTAGGGCCTTGAACTTTCATCTTTATAAAGTTCCGATAGATAACGATAGATAAAGCGGAAAATAAAACATTTATTTTTGAAACTGGCATTTTATGAGGAAGGGGAGAATATGGGACACCTTTTGGCTACTATCGCAAAATTGCAAAAAGCCCCAAACTATATTGGGGCCATAAGATCAGCCCATGGAGTTGTCCTTAATGATCTGGATGCAGTTTTGCAGAACGAACCTAATTACATCATACTTTGGATGTGGTTTTGACAGAACTAACACAATTATATCAAACCCTACACAAGTCTATGATTACCAAGCCTTTATCTCAGCTACAAACTTTGTACAAAGTATACATTTACCTAGGCTCTTCCAATTCCATAGAACTATTCTGAAAGATTCTCCACTAACGCTGGAGGAAATAGTGGTGGCTGACAGTGTTCTCCCTCACAATAAAGCATTAGATAATGATGGGTTGCCAATAGAGGTATTTGAAAGATATGCTGAAATCTTACACCCACATTTGCCGAATGTCTTCAACAAAGCCTTTGAGAGAGGTATCCTAAAACAATCAATGACAGAAGCCTTTATTGTACTTAAAGAGGATAAGGATCTGTTGGACCCCAACACTTATAGACCAATTTCCCTGTTGACCAGTGACATTAAAGTTTTAGCAAAGGTATTAGCCAACAGGCATGCTTTATACCAAATATGTCCACCTTAGTTAGTCAATATGCCAACCCTGGAAAATAACCAGCGAAGTCAGGAATTATTATCACATAATGCAGCTAAAGCCTTTGTAGTGTAGAGTGAGCCTGTATCTCTTGGATACAGCTATTCCATTCCCACCCATTGGCAAGAATTAGAGAGGGGGGCCTAGTCTCTGAGAGGTTTTCATTACAGAGGGGCACAAGACCTTATTATTTGCTATAGCTATTAAGCCATTGGCAGCATAATCAGGGACAATATTGTGGAAGGATTTTTCATATGGTATGCTTTACGATAAAATAATGTTGAATGCTGACATGCTCATTTCCCTTGATGATAAGTACAAATCATTGCAAACTTCCATGCAAACCATTGGGTAATTTGGCTTACCATAAACTGCAAGAAATCAGCGCTGATATTGTTTGAAAACCCCCTCTGACCAAAAAATAATGTAAGATTTAACTATTTCAGCGGTTAAGTCATTAAATTATCTCTGCATAACATATATACAGAGAGATCTCTAGGTATACCCAGCTAAGTATAGCTCACATAATTCACAAATTTAGAACCAAAACTAAATCCTGGAACAAATTAATGTTATTAGTAATGGGCAGAGCCAATTAATTAAAATGATTGTGATACCACACATTAGATATTCTTTATAATGCCCGAATACTGCTCCCACTCAGGATATTTTAAAATTGTAAAAGGCTTTTTTGAGAACTCCTTTGAAAAAAAACAAAACAAGCATAACTTTAGAGAGGTTGATGGTATTGCCATTCCTAACCCCTGGCTGTATTATCTGTCTGCCCAACTCCAACATACTGCTGGTCAGGATTGTGTGCAGGAAGTGAAAATATTGCATCCATGGGTTCCACTGTACAGATTTGCAGACTTGTGCAGAATACATTTAGATCAATATGAGGCTCTAGAGGCTAATACGCTAGCTGTAGTTAATAAAATCCTAACTGCTTACACTTTGATGCACAAGATATGGTGGAAAACTCATCAGCTGTAAAACATTATGCTATCCTCCCCTGCCTGAAATAACCTGAATTTTATGGAGCTCAATAAGTTACACAATGTGGAGATGGGTGGTCCAAATTTCAGGCTAAAAAAAAATACATCAATTATTGGAAATAGAGAGCTGAAAACATTCAGAACATGAGAAGAGCGATTAGAAATACCCCAAACTATGTGTTTCTCTATATGCCGGTGTGCATTTTTTTTTTTCAAATGCAGGAAATCTAACAGATTGGGGGACTTAGCCCAACACCAATATTTATTTTAGAAAGTCATGCAACCCATACCTGCCATGTCTGTCAGTAATGACTGAGAAAGGATTCTTCAGAATATATGTTGTAAATAACCAACTAGTAGCATTAATACCTTTTCACACAAAATGCTATTCACAAAAACAAAAGACCGAATCAGTGAGGAATGAGAGACCCATGATAGACCACTATAGTCCCAAGACAGTTTCCTTTAGCAGTAACTCAACAGTCAAGAGGGACCCAGAAATGAGAAGCGGCCATCATATTTTAGTCCTAGAAAGAGTGTACCAGGAAGAAAAGAAATCATAACCTTCAAAGAGCATTTACCAAACAATGCAAGTGCACAAACTGAATCCAAGTAGAGAAGGAGTTTAGAGATTCACTAAGCAGGAACCTGTTAGAAAGTTCAACCTGAGTAGAGAACCTCACATACCTTACAAATGAGTCAGAAGGTATGGAACAATGAAAAGAGAACTTTTAGTTTTTACACCTGCAGAGACAGTAAGTGAACCCCAGGGAAATAAGACAGAAGCAAATAGTAATATGGCTGTGATGGAAGGACAAAATAACAAACACAGAAGAACTCAAAACTGCCCTGAGGAAAATGCAGTTGGTAAACTGGTCATCTGGAAAGGCAACTGGACATGATGCGATCTCACAGGAGATATACAAACTCATAAAGCTGTCAATCATACAATTCAGTCAGTGAAGGTGCACAATCTCAGAGGAACAGAACAAGATATTAAACAGGAAGGCATTATGAAGCAGACCACCCAAATGTGACCCTCAGAGAATCTGTATAGAAATTAATGAAGTAGCAATCTTTTTGAAAACCTTAACTCCACGGGGTATAAAAGTGAGGAGAAATTACCCCAAAATGTAACAGGCAGCAAATAAAAGAACACATTTTTAAAAGTACAGTGGGAGCGTTTAGATCCTCTGTCATGTTGTCCGTGTTCCCACTGGGGAGATTTCAGATTATTTGTTGACCAGCTGACTGATTTGTTGTGCCAGAATAAATAGAAAGCGAGGTGAAATCTCTTCAAAGGGACACAGAATGTTTACAATGCAACAGTGGTTATACTGTAGCCCTTCAGCACCTACTTTAGGAGTTTATAGCCTTGATAACAATGATGTCTACATACACACTCAAATTTCAAGAGTAGTTAATGAATACTAAGACTGACCTCTCCAATCACCAGATGTACAGATTAAGCCAGCACATTTGATCCATACATTGCCGCTATGAATGCCCACAGTATCTGGCTGAAATTTATGGATGTAGTGACAGCCAGTCCATGACTCCGTTGCCCCGTCTGCGTGGATTGAGGCTACAGTAAGCCTGCTGTCTGCAAATGCTTCACTTCCATGTTTGAACCATTCCAATTGCATTTGTGAAGTATAATCTGTAACATTGTGTACGTCTTCTTTGGGCTGCTATGGAACTTTACTATTATCTTGTATAGCGGCTTGAACTTTGAAACAAGGCTTTTAAGTATTTAAGGGACAGAGTTTCATGGATTAGTGCAATAACACTATGATTCAAATCTCACTGTGACAGCTGCCCCTAACATCTGATAAGGAACCACTGCAAGACTATCAACTCATTGCCTTATCAAATTATAGAGTGCACATTGATCTTTGCTGTGGAAACTGTGCTATATGCTATCATGATGTGCTATATATGTTTTCATTACAATTCGCTATTAAAGAAGCGCTAGTTGTTGTGTTTTATTATAAATAATCTTGTTGTCCCACAAGAGCCCACCCTTCTTATCGCATTTCTGTTTGTAATGTTCATACTGGATTGTGAATAGATACAGTATTTAATTTCCTAGACTGACTGATAGGAATACAGGTCCTGATTCTGTTCAATATATATTTATTAATTTTCCAAAACATTAATCCAAGTTTATCACATTTTACATAGCTAACAAACATACAAAAATAAAGCAAAACAAAACATTCTTCCCATCTGTCCCTTTATATTATACCTGATATTCATAAACTGGTTTATAATCAGGGTTAATCTCCCCAGTTACACCGATTAAAAGTGAGTAAATAAATAACTATTGTGGATTACCTTTGGATGTGCTCATTAGTGCGCACATTGAAGACTTTTATCATGAATCAAACTCTTTAGCTCACCTCTACAGTAAATATAAAATGTAAAGTATGGAAAGTATCCTAAAGCACTATGTCCAGGCATAGAGGGTAATGGCTGGCCCATACTAGGCTTGGTGCATGTACATGGTATTGCCATTATTATGTAATTTTTGAGGAGGTAATTGAGTGGCAAGGGGTTTTTAGTTATAATTTTACTTTTTTAGCATTGAAAATGTTGTATCTTTCTTTTTTTGAAACAATTTTCTGTTGTTTTCTAAAAAAATTGCAAACCTCTTGCCATACACACATCACATCTACTTGTGATACTTCTGGTTGACCAATCTTGAAGGAAAAGAAATGATCATTTAAATAGTTTTTTAACATCCAGTTGCTACCATTGCAGGTGCAGGGTGTGAGTGTGTGGAAGGGGGTCACTCACTAAACATGTATACTTGGCTGAAATAGTCATGTGTGTTCATGTCACATTTCTTGTTGTCACTATCTAATTTCTTTGGGCAGCTTATATAATTTATAGATGGTTGAGATGACCCTATATATCCTCTGGTAAGATAAGCAATCTTCTATCAGCTGTTCAGGTGTAAGTCTCCTGTCTAAGTGGAGTGTGACACAAGGTTTACTACTCCTGGGATTTCTTATCTTGGAAGTAGAGTTGGCTCACACTAGGGGATAGAGGGTAGGGAGGGGTGAGAGTGTTTGACAATTCTTGCTGTGCTTGCATCCTGACTTACTTCATCAATACTGCATGCAGCTGTAGGGAGCTGGCTGTGTTCTCTGCTGCAAACCCAGGACTAGCAGTTCTCTCTCTGTAGCCTCCCTCCAAATATACCTTCCCCTCCTCCTCTCTTCATCACAGTCTTAAATACTCTGAGTGGAATACAATGCAAAAAATTTGCAGTCCTGCTAATGACAGTTTCTGAATGCTCTGAATAAGCCAAGAGGAGCTCTGAACAACTCTAAAGTATCCCTTCTTCTAAGGTAAGAGAATTCTGTTTTTACCACCTCTACTACAACAACATACTGTCAGTAAACCTGGCAACTAGACCCAGAAAGAAAGAAGACTGCATACTGAAGATAAATATACTGTGCAACACATCTGTGCAATGCAGATTGGGGATATGACAGAATGCAGGTGTAAGCCAAATGCCTAATGGTATAGGTATGTGCACCCATTTACACTGATATATTCAGGAATGGATCTAGAACATGGCAATGAATGCCAGTGCAAACATTACTATTCTCTTTGGCACAATGTTTTGGGGACTGGCAGCACACAAATCCAGGGGCATCTGTCAGATTGGTGCAGTTCGTATGGCTGAGCACATTGGCCATTTAGTATCTGCACCAAGAAACTTACTTGATCACACTAAGGCAATCAAATGCATAACTTCTGACATTTGTGTTATAGTGACTACAGCACCACTATCTGATGTCTAGTCAAATATGTAATTATAATATGTTTATTATATTACCTGCTGCAGTTACTTATTGTAGTAGAGTGCCACACAGTGATTGACGTGAAAGGACAGGATGATCCATTGGTCTGTAGCACTGCTGCCACTGTCAAAGAGTTAGCTGTCATTCTGTACTGCACATGTCAACTATATATAGAGCAGATGAAGACAGAGGTACAGGTGAAAGTGCTGCATTCCATACAATGGAGATTCCATTGTTTTTCTGAATATTTCCCAATACATATGAGGCTCTATTCACACATTAGCATTTTTCCATGCATATCTATATGCACGGAAACGCGGAAAACAAAAGAAGCAATACATCCTTATGGGGCTCATTCACACCTGCACATAAAAATACGTAACGCTGCAAAAAGCCCAAACTTGATTTTCTGGGCAATTTCAGCACGTTCTGCCCCCCAAAGGCCATCGTTTTAGCTGCAAATGCCCAGAAAAAAAAACAAATTTATTAAAATGGGTGCGTTTTTGCGCGTGCGTAGGACCGCGGTTTTTCCGTGTAAAAAAAGTTTTGAATACAAAACGCTATGTGTGAATGGAGCCTAATACTAAGGAATAATGTATAAATTATCATTTAACACTTTCCATTGGTAAAAATTACTAATATTGTTCTATACGCTTAATTGACAAGACAGTATTCAACATTCGTCTTACCTTTGGCTAAACTACATGGGTAATATCGATATCATGATGGCTGATTCTACCAGATATGTGTAATTGCCTCCTTCACCATATATTTGTTGCAATATATTGTACTTTAGGTGATTGACAGCATGAGGTTTAATTGCTCAGTAAGGTGATTAGAATAAACTGCACTTGTAATTAAGCCCTGAAAACATTAAACCACCCAAAAAACAATTGCAATAAATCTGATTCATACTTTAGAAATAAGTACAAAAGTAGAGCTGTTGCCCCTAGCATTGTAACTATATACCTATTTATTCTTTGTTAAAATTTGCTGTACAAATATACAAAATAATACATCATGATACATAACACATGGTTACCTAAATACATAATTGGACATTATTCCATTGAGGGTTTTAGCAACATGTGTATAACAACATATTTACCTGCATGGCAAAAGAAGATACGTTCATGAAATATGTATACTGTATATATTAGACATACTAATAATAATTTTGCTAATAACTGAAATATTTAAGAGCGTTTGTTACATGTAAAGTCACAAAGCCTTTATGCAAGTAGACTGGATTTTATTAATGTATACCTTAGCTTAGCGGTTTCCCAAACGTGATCCTTCTGGCATGAAGTTTATTCATCACCTGAGCCAGTATGCTCCACTTTTATGTGAATTGGAAGATCATACAAGAGGTGCAGTGTAAGCATGATAATACTAAAGTAAACCCTTTTAGAGAAGACGGCAACACTAGATCCCTGCTGTCTACAATTCTTTTTTATGAATGTATTGGCTGACGTCCTCTTTATAATAGTTTTATACAAAGAGAAATCAATATCGATTTAGCTCTTTAAGAATGCAAAAACAAGCCTTTAGTAGGGAAAGTATTCAGCCCTCCAAATTGTCAATGAACCTTGTTAAAAGCTATATGTATTAATCGACCTCTCATGATCTAAAGGGGTTTATTTACTACAGGCAAATAGACGGTTCACTTTGCAGGAGAATTTGCACTTGGCAATTAGCTTAGTGAATGTAGTGAACATTCACTTTGCAAAGAATACCCAATCATGAGCAAAGAAAAAAACGGGGAATTTATCAAAACTGGAGCAGACAAAATCTGAAGCAGCTGTGCAAGGCAATCAATCAGCCTCACTCTTTAATTTTCAAATCTTAACTGAACGAACTGAAAAGAGAAGCTGATTGGTTGCCATAGTCAACTGCTCCAGATTTTGTCTGCTCCATTTTTGATAAATTCCCCTCACAGTATTTTTGCTAGCACATGATTGAATGATGGAAGACAGCAGAGCTTCACCACATTAACTAAGCTAAAAGGAAACTACCCCTGCAAAGTGCAAATCCAATTACAAAGTGATCAATCTATTTGCACTTAATAAACCAGCCCTAAAGTCTCTAAAGAAAGAACTGGTCAATTTGGCAAGTCAGATGCCATATTTAATTAATTCTAATGCAGCGTAGGAGAATTGATTGGTAATGATTGCCAAGGACTGTTTTTCTTGTAAAAGTCTAGTGGCAAGAACCTCTTTGTCACTTGTCAACTGTTTTTAGAGCCTGTACATTGAGAGATGGAAAGTATTTAATGGGGGCGATGAGATGATTGGTGGGTGTGCAGTGGGGTTGGTAAGTTTGGCCACAGTTCTGTGAGATCTATGTCATCAAAATTAAAGTAAACCTACCATCAACAGGTCTGTCTAGTTAATTTAATTGATATTTGATCATTTAAATAGATTATAAAGAGAAGCCAGAACTCCGCAAGCTTTGGTTTGTCCAGGCAATTCTAGTAAACGGACTAACTAAATAATAGTGGATTATAAAGCTCTGGATATATTTAGGGATACTCATATATTTATTTGACAATCCATGTTCAGCTGAGCCCTTTGATCTAGAAAGTACATTTAGCAATCAATCTATATGCCATGTGGAAACATATGTTAATCCTTTGAGTAATCTTTGGAGATAGTCTCAGAAATAACACAGCACTTGACTACCTACACATCAATGATGGGAAACATGTAATATTTTTGTGGTCTTGCTTTCATCCCAGTTCCACCAAAGAATTACAATGTAATTGTTGTGTAAAATATCACAAAAGCAATGCCTCAGTCTTAAGTCCAGGTTTTTCAGCTCATCAGAAGTGATAAGATTAAGAAAATGCTATAATTTGAATTAGTCTCTTATAGTTGGTTACAAATAATAATATTCAGTGACGAAAAGGGTACCTGTAATGCTTAACTGCAATTGATAGGCTTTGAGCCCATAGTCAGGGCTGAAAGCTTCAAAATGCAAGCTATGTTTATTACCAACCATCTCTCCCCAAATAAAAACATTAGGCTGCAATGGTAACATCATGTATGGTGGAATTGTCATGTATTGGGTACAGGCCAAACTGATGAGAGGGCTTTCCTTAAATCTCCTGTCCAATACCCCCTGAATTTGGGAACAGGGTATAGCAGTACGAGGAGTGACATGGGTGCCCGTAGTGTAAATTCTAAAAGAATGTAGCCACTGATCTCAAGCATCTCCATAAAGCTTTATTATACCAGGCAGATTATGAAACCCACCAGGATCCTCAGGATCTGACATTAGAGAGGTTCCTGGTGGGATCCATGATCTGTCTGGTAAAAAAAAAGCTTGATCGAGAGGCTGGAAAGCCCAAATGAGCAGTTCCGTTCTTTAGAAACTTGAATGTGAGTGAGTAGTGCAGACGTGCTCTGGAGTAGCCTTTTGGTTGGTGTTGGATGCCAGGCTTAACATTGATTAGTTCCTGTTTGTTGGTGTTTGTAACATGTTGACCTCAGTTTTGCATTCTACCGTTAGTCTTTGCTAAAGCAATAACATGACACAAGGGGAGAGCTTGTACAAAGAGGCATCTTCATTTATGTAAGCATGGTGTTCAAAGAGAACCTTGCAAGGTCCAGTTATTATTAAGCACCCTAACCCCAATCAACAAATAAACAAATGAAAAGCTAAAAAAAACAAAGTATTAGAAGAAAAACATAAAAAATACTTACCTTGGACCCTGGCTTCTGTTGCGTTCTGTAGGTACCAGTGACATCAATGAGCACTCCAGCACAATGCGGGAGCGTATTCACGTGGGATTTGGAATACTCATCTGTCTCAGAAGGCAGCACTGAGACACAGCAATGTCAACAGCACCTACAGGAAGCAGACAAAAGTCACGGTCAGATGTAAATGTTTTTAAATTGTTTCTTCTCATGCTCAATTTTTTAGGTTTTAATTACACCCCTTCACACTGTGCCATCATGTTGTGGTGCAGAAATCCATGTAATACATGACCTACACTGCATTCTGACTATTCTGTGTTTTGACCTGGCTAGTTGACTCTGGTTTTTCTCAATTTCCTGTTGCTGACTTTACCTCTTGCCTGCTGGCTTGGTACCTCTTGGTACCATCTGGTAGACATGTGCGATTCCTTTAGTTCCAAATGAAAGAAATAATGAATCTGAACTTATCTGAATTTTCCGATAACGAAATTTGAAAGCATCCGAAATTTTTTCAGAATGTCATTCAGAATGAACTTGTGTTATTAAATGTTAAAATAAAAAATGTAGGTCTGGTAGGAATTTTATGGGGACCCTAACACGAAAAAAACAAAAAAGTGTGGGGTCCCCCCTAAAATCCCTTACCAGACCCTTGATCTGAGCAGCAGCCTGGCTGCAGGAAAGGGGAAGACAAGCAATACGCTCCCCCTCCTGCACCATACCAGGCCACATGAGGTGCTTTGCCAGAAGAAGACTCCCTCATGTGAATGAGTAAGGGGTAGTAAATACATAAACACACAATACTGTAACAAAATCCTTTATTTGAAAAAAATACACAGGTTTCTT